AATACATCAAAAAATAATTAATATATCAAATATAATATAAAAATATATGATAATAAAGAATATAATATAATGTAGTAAAAATATTATAATATATTATATTATATTATAATTATAATATATATATATAATAAATATATATATATATATATATATATATATATATATATATATATAAATAGAATGTATATAATATATACATATAAAAAGTATGATACGTATAATATATGCATGTAAAAAATATAATATATATAAATATAATACAAACTAAGAAGAGAAGCAAGAAAAAAGCGTAGCGTCCACAATAAGTATATACTATACATAGTAAATATTGCAGACAATTTATATAGATATTCGTACGCTACTATCAATAAACGTCACTCGCTGCAAAGACCCCGCGAGCACCCTGCGTGGGCGCCATTGTGCCAGAAGTTCGTGCGCGTACCGCCGGGTCAACGTTTCGGGGCGGACGGGAGGGGGGGGGGATAGAAATCGCGATCGCGCCAAGAAAATATCCACGCAATATGCGACGTAATAAAGGAAAGTACACGCGCGGCGTACGAGTGCGTTCGTGGGGGTAATATCTCGGGAAGAACGAGCAGGGCGATCATCGTTGAAAATAAAGGTTTCGTTTCGAGTCGAAAGTTCTCGACGGATCCGCGAGAGCCGCGGTCGAGATTGCCCGAGCCCGTGGAGCGAGGCTATCTTTGTTCCATCGTTCAACGAAGACGTTGGGGAGATTTTAGTCGCGCGTTTAACTCCGCAATGGAACAATCCCTCTGGCTGCCACCTTTCAAGAACGTACACGATTAAACTTCTTCCGGGGGATCGAATTGGACTTTCCGCGCCGCTGGTGGTAACTAATTTCGTTACTCGCTCGCTAACAACTTCGTTACAGGTTGTACCTACAACGGCGGGCATTTCTACGCCGAGGCGGAACGGCCGGAAGTTTAACTAGACGAAAAGAGCACGATTATTCGTTTCGCGGATACCGGGATACCGTTATTTCCGATTTGTTCGA